GTTTTATTATTGATAAAAGGTTTTGTTGTTAATAAACGAGTTTATTGTAAATTATGCTCCATTGGTCTTTTTGTGGTTTTTTACCCACCTTTATCTCCGTGACGGTGAGATATCGTGGTGTTCTTACTGGGCTAGTGTAGCTCACTCCTTAATTAACCATTTCAGATCAGGAAGACATGGTTCCCGAGCCCGTTCCGCAGGAGGACGACGAAGGGGATGCCTAGAGACTCTGTAGTCATACGCATAGTTTTATTTTCGAGTTTCTTTCTTAGTTAGTTTAATCTTTTATATTTTAAGTACGTTTTTTGGTTTTTCGTGTAAGGGATGTTAAATGAAATTTTGATCTCGCTTCCGCATTCGATATATTTAAATACTCATTTCATTTTAATATTTTCCGGGGCCGTTACATAAGATTTCGCAAAAAATATAAGAATTGATCACGATCTAAGTTTTACTATATAAAAATAGTTTTTAACTTTAATTTTCTAAACTTTTTATAAGTATTTTATTAAAATATAAGTTAATTAAAAAATTAAAAAATTGATAGAAAAGATGACAATAAAATCATAAAATGTTATTTTTTTAATTTTTGTATTTATGTTTAATTATTTCATAAATAATACATCTTATATAATTTTATCAATAAATACACGTATAAATATATAAATTTTGTAAATAAAAAATATCTTCATATGTTTAATTTCATATTTTCTAAAATTTTTATTTTTTCTTTTTATTTATAAAGTTTGTAACATTGTTCTTAAAACACGTGTCAATATATTAATGGGCAGATATTACCGAGTTCTTAAACCAGTTTTTCCCTATCAGCTCGACGTTTCAAGTTGCCCGAGAACGAGTTCAGAACTGAACCAAAACCCTAGAGAAAACTCAAGAAGAAAAAGAAGAAGAAGAAGAAGCAGAAGACGGTTGCTAATCGGAGAAAATGGTGTTGAGACAGTTCTCCGAGAGAGTCGGTGAAGGTGCCGGACAACCACTTCTCGACGAAGACAACGGAGAGGAACTCATGCACCTTCAACCTTCCGTCGCAATTGTCCTTGGAAATCGTGCTCCGGATTCCCCCGGCACTCTCTACATCACTTCTAAGTATTCTATCCTCTCTCTGTCCCTCGTGTTTATTTTCTTGTCTATGTTTACAGGCCCTAACAGGTGAGCGTGATGGTTTTGCTTTTCAGGAAAGTGGTGTGGTTAAGTGATGTGGACAGGACGAAAGGTTATGCTGTTGACTTCTTATCGCTGTCTCTCCATGCTGTATCGACAGATCCGGAGGCATATCCTTCTCCTTGCATATACACTCAGGTATTGGATTATTATAAAGAGGCTTTAAATTAGTTGAATTTGATCGAAAACCAAGGATGGTTTATGGTATATCTACTGTGTATGTTTTCCCACTCGGAATGGAACCGTAAGAGGAAGGCCTCATACTGCTAAAAGCACCTTTATATGATTGTTTTCTTGATGGACCTAAAAAATGTACTTTTTATGTCTGGATGATGGTTGTTCAAAATTTTAATAGTGTTTTTGTTTTCCTGAATGAATTATCCATTCATGTTCTTTTATGTCGTGAGTAGGGATGATATGGATATCTCTTCCAAAAGTTGTATTTCAAACTTTAAGATATTATGAGTGCATCCTATACAATAAATCCTTTTATTAGATATTCCAAAACTGACAACTCAAAATCCATTGATTATGGGTGCATACTATACAATAAATGTTCATCAAAGCATTTAGGCCTATGATTTATGATTTTAGATATTGAATTTTTTAATGAAGGGCATTTCCCACTTTAACTCATGGAACAACCTCACCCGCAGCACTTGTAGCATTATAGGTGGTTGGTCACTGCGCTTGTGGCCTTGTGGGAAGCAGATGAACAATGGAGCTAAAGCTCCAGGTCTATCTATATATTTTGATTTATATGACAATGGACTGTTAAGCCAGACTTTTGACCTAATGGACGTTATA